TGCGCATGCAAGGGACTTGGTTGTCATGGGCGACTTCAAATCACCCTGACATAGATTGGGAGGAACACTCAGCTAGGTTGGATTGGTCATGTAGCTTCTTAACTGTAAATCAAGGAGCTCTTTCTAACCCAGGAAGTGCAAGGGCCAACCAGAAGTACAGCTCTCCTAGACTTGGTTTAGGAGAAAGGAGATGAACTGGTGTGTGACTTGAACATTGAGGGTAGCCTGGGTGACAGCAACCATGAGCAAATTAGGTTCACTGTCTGCCTCAAGGTTGACAAATCAACTGGCAGGATTGAAGTTCTGGACTTCAAAAAATGCTGACTTCAACAGACTGAGGGAATTAGTAGTGGGGGACAATGCAGGAACAGGGACAGAAGGCGAATGGGGTGCATGAAGAGTGGTCGTTCCTCAAAGACACGATCCTCAAAACACAAAAGGAAACCATTCCCAGCAAGAGAAAAAGGTAGCAGAAGTTCTGGCCAGTCCTCTTGGCTCAATAGGGACATTGCGGTCCTTTTGAAAAAAAAAGGAAAAAAAAAAGGTGCATACACAGTGGAAGCTAGAGACAGTCCTCAAGGAGGACTATAGTGCAGTGGTCTGCACTTGTAGGAAATGACCAGGAAAGCTAAGGCGGTGACTGAGTTTAAGTTAGCCAAGGGACTCAAAGACAGTAAGAAGTCCTTCTTTAGGTACGTAGGGAGCAGAAGAAAAATGAATGGAAGCATGGGGCCCCTGCTTAACACTTTGGGACAGCTGGTAGTGGACACTCAGAGAGAAAAGAAAAAACAAACAAACAAACTCCTGAATGCCTACTTCGCTTCAGTATTTCACTGGACCAAGGGGAAAGACATGTGAGATAAGGATCACAGGGGGCATGGTGGGAATGGTAGCCTTCCCACTGTGGATGCTGAATTGGTGCAAAACCAACTAGAAAAGCTAGACATTTATAAGTCAGCAGGACCAGATGGACTTCACCCAAGAGTACTGATGGAGCTGGCTGAGGTCATTGCAGAACCCCTGGCAAAACTCTTTCAGAAATTGTGGCACACAGGGAGATCCCCAAGGATTGGAAGAGGGTCAACATTGTGCCCATCTTCAAGAAGGGGAAGAGGGAGGTCCTGGGCAACTATAGGCCAATCAGCCAAAAAAAAAAAAAAAAAACCAAAAACAAAAACAACAACAACAACCACCACCACCACCACCACCAGCAGCAGCACATTAAAGAATCTATGTGAGATATGCTCATGGAGGGTAAGATTCTGAACAACAGCCAGCATGGCATTGTTGTGGGTAGTTCTTCTCTTACCAATCTCATCTACTTCTATGAACAGGTGTCTTGCCACCTGGACATGGGAGAAAAGGTCGACATTATATACCTTGTCTTCCAAATGGCTTTTGATCTAGTATCTGTGCTTGGACCAGTGCTTTTCAACATCTTTATCAATGATTTGGATGTGGGGGTAGAAAGGTCGCTGGCTAAGTTTGTGCATGACACCAAGTTATGGGGTAGCATGGTCATGCCAGAAGATAGATTTCAGATACAGGCAGACCTGGAGAGGCTGGTGAGTTGGGCGGACTGGAACCAGATGAAGTTCAACACTCAGAAGTGTAAGGTGCTCCATTTGGGGGCAAACAATTCCCAAAATACCTACAAGCTCAATGGCAACAATTTGACTTGTGCCATGACCAAAAGGGAACTAGGGGTAGCAATTGACCATTGCATGAGCATGAGTCGGCAGTGCGATGCTGTGACCAGCAGGGCAAGCCACATTGCGGGTATGCATTAACCATTGCATCTCATGAAAAGCTAAGGAAGTGATACTCCCACTGAACTCCACAATGGTGAGACTGCAACTGGAGTAATACATCCAGTTTTGGGTGCTGCACATCAACAAGGATGTGGAAAAACTTGAGAGTCCAGAGAAGAGCCACCCATATGATCAGGGACTTACAAGACAAGACAGATGCGGAGAGGCTGAGGGACTTGGACCTCTTCAGTCTATAGAAGAGTAGGCTGAGGGGGGACTTGGTAGCTGCTTACCTCTACATCAGGGGAGTACATCAAGAACTCAGTGAACAGCTGTTCACCAGGACACCCCTGGGGAAGACCAGGAGCAATGGATACAAACTCCTGAAAGGCCACTTCAGGTTCAATTCCAGGAATAACTCCTTAACAGTCAGGGTGTCCAGACTGTGGACTAAACTCCCTCCATTGGTGGTGCAGTCATCTACCCTGAAAATCTTCAAAAGGAGCCTGGACAGTCACCTCACTGGGGTCACTTGCCACCAGTTGTCTTTTCCTGCCTAGTGAAGAGGGACTGGACCCGATGATCTACAAGGTCCCTTCCAGCCCCTAAGAATATACAGTACAACCTCCTAATGACTTTAATGCAAATGACTATGCATTTGACTACCAATATAGGATTTAACTTATTAGGTTCCATCATAAGCATGCAGTGAGAAAATTAGGAGGGTTGTCATCAAAAAGAAAGGAGGAACATTTACATCTCAGAACCACTGCCAGCATGACAATTTAGTTTTGTAGTAGCACTTAAGTTTAAAGAACATGGTTGCCCAACTTGCTCAGGTCTCTCTCTTTCTCTTTCACAGCTGTGTACAAGATAAACCAGCTGACAGCTGAAGCCAAACAACGTCAAGCCAGAAATAAGGCACACTGTTATAACATTGACAGTAGTTAACCATTAAAGCCATTAAGTTAGCAATGATATATTTGCCACCACTAGTAATTATTAAAAGGAGATTGGATGATTTTTTCCACAAAAAGACCCAACATGCTTCTAGTTCAAACATGCAATTAACTCAGGGGAATATTGAAAAATAGGTTGTTATATCTAAGTGTAGATTAGATGATAAAAGGGTCCTTTCAACCTTGTAATCTATGATTTTTTGCTATCTCTTTAGTATACATGTTTTACATTTTCCCCACACCTCTTATGAAAGCCAGAAGTCTCCTCCTGAGATGTCCAACTAGATTTATAGAGGGTTGTAAGTGATGGAGACATTTCTCCTTCAATAGGCAAATATCTAGGCTGGAAGTCTGCGTATCACTTGCCTGGTAATACTCTCATGGGACCTGCCACAGGCATAAGAGCAATGTTTCATCACTTTCTCCAATGAAGAAGCAGAAACAGATCATGGGAAATGTCAAGTTTGATTAAAATTAAACTGTTACAATGCATAAGAAATTTACCACCACCAGCTCAGAATAATTACAGAAAACTTTACCTATTAAATCTAAAAATCTGTGGATGAATTGAAAGCTGAGGCTGCCCATAATAATATAACAATAGTAGAAACCAGAATACCAGCAAAACCTAAGATCCTCTTAAGGACTCAACATGGCAACAATTTTCTCCTTGTCACTTGAGCTCACTGTGATCAAAGAATCTGAATCACAAAGTATAATTGTAATTTCTTTCTATCATTCCATTTCTACTCCATTCTTGAAACAAGATCACTCCCTTGAAAGAAAAAAAAACATTGAAGGGTAAAGGAAGGTATTCAGAGATGATTTTCTCCTCTGGCAGCAATTTGAATCTACCATTTTTGTCATTTTTTTCTCATGCATGAAATGCAAGGGATTTGAATCACTATTTATCTGATGCTTCCTTTCCGAGTTCAGTCTTTTATTTTTATCTTTACAATACAGCGCATTTGGATTGATTGATTGAATGGATAGGCATTCAATCAAATATATAACATAAGGTTCAGTCAAACACAGAGCTGTATAGTGATTGGAACTGGGGATAATTCATTTTCTGATGGATTTGAAAATGGAAAGAGT